TATTATTATTTTTTTTAAGTTATTAATTTACATATTTCGATTATTTTCTTTTCATTATTGATCTACACAGTTCAACATCTTTTGCCAAGACGAGTGGAAGCTCTCCCTGGTGGGCACCATAAATAATGTGGGTCAATTTGTGGGCATACCTCTGGGTGGCTATTTCGCAGATCGGTAAGTAGAGTATATAATATGATAATAATTCTAATCCATGCAAATAAATAATATATTTTGCACATTCGCAGCTATGGTCGTCGCACAATGCTGGCCATTGCTGGAAGTCTGAGCGCGCTAATGGGCATCATACGGTCATTGTCTACGAACTATTCCATGTTTCTGTGCTTCGAGTTCCTGGACATGGCTGTGGGCAGCACGCTGTTTCCCACAGCCTTTTTGCTGGCCATCGAACTGGTCGGACCGAAGCGTCGCGTCGCCGCAGCAACGATCATCACAATTTTCTACTCCATCGGCGAGGCGATGCTGGGCGTCTTGGCGGCCCACGTGCAGGATTGGCGTTGGCTGCTGCGAGTGCTCTATGCGCCAGCCATCTTGCATGTGCTCATGCTCTGGATCCTGCCGGAGAGCGTGCGCTGGCTGCTCTGCCAGGGCGAGGAGAAACGCGCTGCGGCAGTGCTAAAGCGGGCGGCCGAAATCAATAAACGGCCGCTGCCCGAGGCGCAGGTGGATCAGCTGCTCAACAGCAACCGGCAAAAGCTGCAGCAGGCCAACGAGAGTCAGTATCCCATTAGCCAGGCTGCTCGCCTCTTCGCCTGGCGCATCGCCAACTGCTGCTTCTGCTGGTTCACCCACACGCTGATTGCGCTCGGATTGAGCCTGAACTCGGTGAATCTGGGCGGCAACAAGTACAATAACTTCATGTTCAACGGCTTCGTGCAGATTCCCGGTCTGATTCTGCCTCTGGTCATCATGGACCGCATTGGCCGCAGGTATTCGCTGTGCATCTCCATGCTGATCTGCGCCATCTGCATGGCCGCCTCCGCTGCAGTCGGACCGGGTTAGTTTATCAATATATCTATATGATAAATACTTACTAAATACTTACTTACCTTTGGCTCTTACAGATGACTACGCGGGCTCCTTGACGCTGTTCCTCATCGGGAAGCTGGCGA